CGAGACATTGTAGTTGTTTGTTTGCAAAGCTTAATTTGCTTTGCATTATGCTAAGAACATTTACTCTTGGCTTGATTTCAAAACTGATGAGCATCCAAAATGCTATTGAACTCAGCACTCAATGCTTGTGAAACACAGGGCTTGTGCAAAATGCAATATATGATTTCCTTCCAACTACATGTCAGCAGTCTCAAAGTAACTTGGAATTTTTACACGATAACTTTGAATTTTACTTTTCCTTTGTATATTTTTTTTGGTATGATATGGTATCTCAAAGGCTCTTAGTCACGTGGCCTGTAGGGTGGGTCAGATTGCTTCCCTGTGGAACTCTGTCAACAGTGGTTGTATGGGAGTAACCCCAGGCAAAATTTGAACCTAGCAAAGACATGGTGGGACCAGTATCTTGCAAAGTTCTATCAAAAGATCTATGAGAACATGTGTGTGCAAACAAGAGGTTATTGTCAGTACCAGGAGCGATGTGATTGTTCTCTTTAGGAAAATCCCATGCCCTCTCCCTCTTTCATTTGGAAAGGAACAGAAGTTGCCAAGAGATCTTTATGAAGAGCTCTCGTGAGAATGATGACACTTCACAAGGGCATGTTCACAGGGGCAACCAGGAGCTTCCAAGCACACCTGTGCCACTGTAGGGCCTGTTTGAAATGCCCTCACCTCACACACACACAGCCTTACCCACCTGTGCCTCACCTGCTGCCCATCCTGCACGTTCCCTCAGGCAGCACAGGGGAACAAACGTATTTATTTCCCTCCTTAAAGCACTGAACACCAACTACAGCCAAACTGTTCCCTTACCAGAGGCCTTGACTGTTTAGCCAGTTGGCTTTGTCCTTGGCCAAATCACCACACTGACAGGGACACCTCAGGAAAGCAGGAAAGTTTGCCTTTTATCTTCCTGCTCTGACATTACTGCAGTTACTGGCTTTGCTGAGAGTAAATGGCAAACAAAATGTTTGTGTGTTCCAAGATTTTTCAAATGCTCCCTCCTTCCCTTTTCATTTTGGCACAGTGCTATTGATAGCACCCAACAGGCCAGATTATTTAACTACCACAATACCACATAGCAAATGCATGACACATTATACACTTTTTCTTTTCCTTACTGCATATCACAAAAGGTAACACTAGGACTCAAACAAAAACAAATTACCTCAGTAACTCCTGGAAAACTCAAGTGGTTAATCAGTTACCTTTTATTTACATATATATGCTTAATGCTGAATTAAGTTGTAAAAACCAAAGGCTGATTTATAGCCCAAGTCAGCCTTAATTAACATTGATTCCAGGGGAATAGTAAATGTGAATAGCCTTCACAATTGAGGTTGAACAATGAACTCACTGGGTGTTGTCCAATTTGTAGCATGATTTACATGGAAGCAAGCCCTTCTTTTTCCAGGGTTACCCCTTTTTTATCTGGTGTTTAGGATGGGTTATATATAATCCATAGATAGGAACATTTGCTGTCAAATATTCTCCCTGATTTACAGTTAGCCTTCACCATGGTCGCTATAAATAAGGCAGAAAAAAACCCTATTTGAGGCTTTGCAGGGATTCCTTGTTCTTGCAATGTGTCATCGCTTCTCCATTTCATGGCATTTTTACGAAGTGGCCATAATGAAAGTCAGATTAAATGTACAGGATATATACGTTTAATCAACAGCCATTGGAGTCAGTAGTGCTGGAAGAGTTATAAAAGCCCCTATGAATGCAAATTTATTGCAAAAGAATCTGCGTCTTGGTGGTAGGAATATCTGCTGAATGGTACTACCTGACACAGAACACCTAAAACTTTCAAAAGTGAATTGTTTAAGTGCAAGGTTTTGCTTGTAAAGACGCCAGCTGCTGGATTTCAAGACTTGAAACTGTTCCAAAACATGGGACTAGGTACTTTATTTGTGCACTAGAGTAAATACTCCGATTTTACTGCCAATTTAAATGTGCTCAGTTTACAGTAATGAGCTTGTATAGGCAATACCTTGTTTATAGAAAGTGGAACAGGAAGAAACTAACATTAACCATTAACAGTAGCAATTTCTCTTGCCTTCAGCTCTAACTTTATGCCAAATAGATCCTTCCCATGTCCTATCTGAAATATTTACTATTACAGTTCTTTTTCTAAATCTGTGGGATAAATGGAGCATTCAGTAAAATAATACACCTTTTCCTTCCAGCTGATTTGAATTGCAACTCTCTTTTGTAATTCCAAAGCACTATTTCTCATTCCTATGATGAAATGTATTTTAAGAACAAATATGTGTCCTATGCACTAGCAAACCTGATGATAGGTGTTAATCCCAGCAGAATGGAGTCAGAATTTTTTAATCCTTTTAAAAAAGCACAGATGACTTCTGGAAGGGAAGTACTGAATTGCAGTTGCCATGACTTCTCAGGTCCTTGTACTCAGCTGAACTGCTTTATTCTTTCAGTACAGCTCACACGAGAAGCCTATGTGTTTATGTACATACTGTCACCTTAAACAAACATGCTTGCATCTCCTCTGGCCATCTGCTCCTGAAGCTGAGAGCTTTTCTCCCTTCCCCTTCCTCCTCAGCACCCCCACACACGCTGGGTGCAGAGTTAACTCAATGAAAGGCATGACAGTAAAATCCTTCCCCCACACAGGTCATAGATCTCAGTTTCTTTTTTTCACTTACAGTCTAAAATGTGACAATAATACGCTGGAGGATTTTGGCATATGGTGTTAATCACTAGAAATAATACTGGAGATTCTTTCACTATCTTATTTTAGCTGGTTTAGCTCCAAAATGTCCTAACAGGGACCAGTACTTGGGTTTGCCAAATATTGTGATCACTGAGCAGGAAGACACCAGCATGGTCTGAGGAGCTTAAAGTTCAAGGACATGAACAGGTTCAGGATAAATACAGCATACAAAGAAAGCAAGGGGAGTGGTGTGGTAGGTCCTGGGTTCAGCAACCTATGAAAACCTAAACAAAAGAGTGGGGAAAGTAAAAAAAGAACAGACTGGAGTGGGTGGAAGGGCACACAGCAGAGTGGCTGAAGCTGGAGGCACAGGGAAGAAGAGGAAACACAGTAATAGCAAAAGCATCCATAATAGCAAAAGCTCACGTAATTGTTGCTAAGTACAGTTGCTCGACCTCCAGGGTCTTTTCCAGGCAGACACAGGTTCTCTCCACACATCTTCTTTAGGAAGAAATTCTTTACAGAAAGGGTAACCAGGCATTGGAATGGGCTGCCCAGGGAAGTGGTGGATTCTTCATCCCTGGAGGTTTTTAAGATGAGACTGGATGTGGCACTTAGTGCCATGGTCTGGTAACTATGGCAGTAGTGGATCAAGGGTTAGACTTGATGATCTCAGAGGTCCCTTCCAACCCAGCTGATTCTATGATTCTGTGATTCTATGTCCTCAGACAGCTGGACATGAGGCAGCTCTGAACCAGAAGCTGTGTCACTGCAGTTAGTGTGGCACTGAGCCTGAGCTAATAAGCCCTGCTGAAAAGAACACAGCTACAGGGCTTCCATTTGGCTTGGAGAATAGGTTGAGCAAGCTCAGGTCTGGTAAATGAAAACTCTACAGACATATCTGTGCCTTCATGTGTAAAAAGATGGTCCAGTTTCTACCACCTGAGTATCTCTGATTGGAACTGAGACTCCTCAGTCTTTCAAAGGGTCCCTGTCTCTATAAACACAGCCCCATACGCGAAAAAAAAAAGGGTGGTGAATTCCTTCTTTTTGGGTGTGAACTCCTGCCTCCAGTGAAGTAAGGAGTAAAATTCCCATTTATTTCAATGAGGCCAGAACATCCCCTTACACATTTGAAGTTGTTTTTCATGGAATACAATGAAAGTACGTTGATACCTGAACTCCAAGAAACCCCTATGGTGCCTGGACTTTTTGATCACCTTTGTTCTTAGAAAGATTTAAAAGACAGGAAGAGTCTGAATACCTGGAAAAACTTTCACTTAGTCGTTTTCCTGGAGTGACTTGTTTCATATTTGCTAATAAGTAATTGCATCCTGTTCTTGAAAGTCATTCAGTAGGAAACAACTGACATGTATACAGCTACCAGTAAAAATCGACTTTAAATAAACTCATTTGTCATTACCTTTCTCAAGACAGCTGTTGTCAGCACCATTACCATTCAAATTTGTTTTGCCCGTGACAATTAAGATGATATCAACACCGAGAGAATTTAACAATTTCCATTGTTCCAAGAAGATAAGCAAGTTAGTTCTGTGCTGCAAGCCATCACTGGAGCCATAATTAACTGACTGTGTATTGAAGAACTGTGATGTTTGAGATTATTCAGCCTTGACTGGGTTGTATCAGTGACCAAATGTTTACTTACTGAACTGAATGATTACTCCAAATCTCTGTCTTGTCTCCAGCAGTTTCAAGGCTTTTTGTCTGATACAGGTACTTCTTGTTTTTAGTCTGTTACAGTTTTTGAATCAAATTTGAATGTTAACCAAGTTATTTGGAATCTGATATTGCTCCTATAGTGACACTGCTACAGAACACAGAAAGACATCGGGGCTGACCTCAGCCTGAATGCTTGAAAACTGTAATTTTCACAGACATAAATAAGTTTCAGCTCTCTTGTTTCTGAATCTACAGCCTTTCCTGGGAGCTTGTTGTTATATACATCACAGTTTGCTCATGCAGGAGACCTAATGACTTCTCTTCCTTTTCTAGATTTTCATCAATAATGAGTGGCAGAATTCCGAAAGTGGGAGAATATTCCCAGTATATAATCCAGCAACAGGAGAGCAGATCTGTGAGATTCAGGAAGCTGACAAGGTAATGCATCCCATGAATGGGTATATGTATAAATGAAATGTATAAATAGTTCAAATAACAGATAATAGAAATGTATAAATAGAGCAAAGCAACCAGTCTGGGACAGAACTGTTGGACAGTTCTTTTGTTAATCGTAGTTCTAAAACCCATCACATGAGGAAGGTTGTACAACAGCAAATTTCATAAGCCTGGGTGTGTTATTTACCTCTGTGCCTTCAGCTTTTTCTTCCTTCTTCACAGGTTGATACAGACAAAGCAGTGAGGGCAGCCCGGCTCGCATTTTCTCTGGGCTCTGTTTGGAGGAGAATGGATGCATCGGAAAGAGGCCATCTTTTGGATAAGCTGGCAGACTTGGTTGAGAGAGACAGGGCAATTCTTGCTGTAAGTGGCACAAGAAAATCAACAGTTAAATCATTTGTCAGTTTTACATTCTGAGAGCAAGTTGGTTCACGAATGTGTTGATATGAGTTGTATTTGAAAGCCACTCTCAGCCTCATGGCCGAGATGTCTGGCTGTCTACTCACGGCCTGATCCAAGGCACATAAAAGTCAACAGGAGCCTTCCAATGGGCTCAAATGAGCTTTTAATTGGACATCACACAGATGCAGGGGTGTGCACACATGTCTGCGTCTGCAATTCTAACTTTTCTAGAGTAAAAAATGCCAGACTAAGGGACCGGTGCAACCACTCCCGAAATGGCAGGAGAAACGCTCGCCGGCACTCAGCCGGGGACGCGAGTTCTGGGTACAGCACTGCTTCACTGGTGGATGGAGCCATCAAAACAGTGGCATTGTTAATGTTGTTTTCCGCATGTCAACTGCTTTGAACTAAGCCGGAGAACATCTTAATTCCAGCTTTGTCAACACTTAAATCATCTTACCACCGGCGTATACTGTAAAATCGCCGCAGGGAAAAGGAAGTGCACAGCAAATCAAGTTTACTCGGCCTGTCATTTGATTTTTATTTCTGGAGCCAAGTTCTTTGCTGAATTGCACTGCAGGCAATGCCATTAATTGCTCTTGGGGATATAAGTCAGTGCAGAATTAGGCCTCCATTCTTCTCTATAGAAACTCATTTGATGGTTGGTGTGTTACACATGGGCGTCCTTTGCCCATTCTTAACGATTTCTGTTAGACAGCTATTGAGAATGAGTTAAGCTCCTCAACATCTTAGGATATTTTATTGGATTCTTTTTGCTAACTGATCTTAGGAACCCCTAAGAGGACAGCTTATAAGATACTTTTAAAAACTAGGAATATTAACTTAAAAATAAGGACATTAGCTTGTTAATTTATGAGCTTCCCTAGAGGAGAGTTTGTTTATTTGATGGCAATAAATAAACTGGCTGTACAGTATAGATATCTCAGACCTCAGCAGGAGTCTTGGCAGCCATATAGAGAAATTTTTATATTCACATTAATTATATAAAGAGGGATATGTCCATTCTTCTCTTTATGGATTCAGATCATTAATAAGGGGTTACAAGGAGCCCCTTCTCAGCTGTTATCATTAACATAACAGAACCTGGTTTGACAAGCATTTTTATCTTGGCTCCTGATTAAAGCAATTCAGCATTTATAGATCTGGACCAAACACAGTGGCTATTAGGTTCAAAATACACAAAGGCACATGTACATGCATGTGGATACACACATAAACCCACAAGACAGACAGATAAACAAACACACATAAACTCACACATGTTCTTAAAATCATAGCCATTCCAGAATACTCCAGAAGAAACCACTTTTTTTTTAAGGAAAATGCTTTTTGTTCACATTTGCAAAATGCAGTACACAAAGGGGATCAGATAATTGTTCTGAAACTTCTGGGGTAAAAGTATGCCAAGATGTAACTGGTTGGTCGTCATTAAAATCTCTGTCATGACTGAAGAGCTGTTAAGATGGTGAATACTTAAGTACAATAGTCCAAAAATGTTACTGTGCTTATATCTCTTACCTTTTTCTTGTCCTCCAGACTATGGAATCCCTGAACAGTGGTAAACCATTCTTGCAAGCTTTCTACGTCGATCTCCAGGGAGTCATAAAAACCCTGAGGTATTATGCCGGTTGGGCAGACAAAATCCATGGAATGACCATTCCTGTAGGTAAGGGGAATTAAAGCACCTAAACCTTCTCACGGCCAGATGGCTTAACAGATTACAGCTTCATGGAATGGAGAAGGGAACCTTGGTTTGGTCTTACAGTTTGTAGTGTGTTGCTGAAGCAGATGTTTGAAAGTGAGATGTTTAAAAGATGCCCTGCTATTGTTCTGCCCTACATGCACATCTCGAGAGTGCTTGGTTTCTTTTGCATGTGACCATCTGAGAAGGAGACAGCTCAATACCTGCATTTAAATACTGACACACTTATAAAAATGGATGCAGTATAAGCCTGACAAATACCTTGGAACTCATGAAAATAGTGGTAGTTGTTAAAGAAACAGTATGTTTACATATAGAACTTGTTTATATTTGTCTTCTTACTGCTTATGCAAATAATTTTACTTGGGACTAACATTGGATCTAAATTAATTTATACTTTGAGAGAGGTAGTAAAGTTACTATAGAGAACTACATACATATCAGATATGCTTTGTTATATATGCTTCTTCAAATTATTCAGTGGGATGAGTTTTATATTGCATGTATGAGATAAATCTTTATGAGTTCTAGGAAATTATTACGTTTTTCTTTTTTGTTAAAGAGATAAGAGAAAATCTTTACCATTATTTTTATTTAAAGAGCCTCTTCCTCCTGCCCCTCCCTCCCAGCTGTTTAACAAATACAAGCTGCATTTTCTGATGCAAACATATTCATTTGCAGTCTGGACAAGATATACCAAGTGCTTTAATTATGCAATATGGCAAAATAGCAAAGAATGATTTTCTGTAGGTGCAGTCATTAAGATAAATGTACTCATCTTTCACCTGCATAAAATAATTTTTTTAAAAAACATTAAGGAAAACGAACATTCATTCTGTGGGTTCTTTCTGGTTTCATGGAGCACACTGCTCATTGCACAGGCATGTTAGTCACACTCCCAGGTAAATGGATTTTGGTGTTGCCCACATATTTCCCTGGTGTTACACCGTGTAACACGATGTCTACAGTGCACTCATTTGCCTCTGCACAGCAAAGCACGGAACTATCAAAGACAGACAAGCAGATAAATTGAAAATGTGCCCCCAAAATTTTCAGAAGGAAAACAAATCGTGTAACTCTTACTGCAATGTTACTCATTGTGATGTTTCACCTTATTAAAACTGCGGTGTGTTTATCAGCACTAGTTTATTTTCACCAAAGAAATGACAATATTATTATTTCAGGTGTAGACTGTCCCGCAAGGACTCAAAGATTTCCACAGTCATTTAGGCTGAGATTCGTAAATCCCATTTTTGCTGCTTGCACTTCACATTTAATCATACAAAAGTGCAGACCACACCATAAATTCGTATATTCAGCAAATTTCCTGTCCCCTAATCTCTTACTCCCTGGTCACTGAATGCCTCCTTCTCACTCCTTAGCCCTGCAGGTACACAGAAATTAGGTCAGTCACCAAAAGCCATGACCAGGTTAAGGAGAATAAATATCCTCTGCTTATTCTTTTCAATTACTGTATAGGATAAAAATTGGTATTTTTTTTTTCAGTGAGGAGGGCTATGCTGGGCAAAAGGAAGGCACATTTTCAGCATGCTTTCCTCAATGCAAAATCTGTGCTAACACAGTTATCAGTAGTGTAGAATCATAAGTCCATTCACAAATTTTCAGGATATCAATTAGTTCTTCCTCTTGCTTTAACACTCCTCCTTATCCATCTAGTTTCACACTATAAATTTGTCATTCTCATAAAGCTATTTTAGAACAAAGCCAGTGCTCTTTAAGTTCACTTACCATCAGCTCATCAAAGGTAAACAAACAAGACAACAAAAACAAAATAAAACCACTATTAAATCTCCTTTTTCTGTTCAGTGTGCTAATAAATCTGAAACCTCTCAGTCTTTCATCTGTTTCTGCTGAGGTTTTCTTTTCCTCTAAAATAAAAATAGGCAAGTGATAGACAAGTAGAAGAAGAACAGTGCGTTTTACAGTCACATTCCTTTTGGTCCCAGAGCTACAAAACCTTCAGACTGCCCTTTGCTTGCTCCCATGCGTAAAGCCTTGATGATTTAAATTAAAACAGAATGAGGCTGGACTAGAAACTGTTAAACTAATAAACTGAATGCAAGGAGAAATGTATCTTTAAATCAATATATGATATGATACAGTTCAAAGAACCAGCTCGGCTCTCCTCACCCACTTGTTTGCTGTGTCCTGCTCCATGAGGCATGGGACTGTATGATGGTTGTTATGCAAATAAAATATCCAGGATGGAGACTCCTGATGGAAATCTGAGCAAACACATCTGTGGAAGATATTGCTGTCCCAAAGTGAGATCCCTGGATAAATGAGGCTTGCTTTCTGATTAAAAAATTAAAGTCTTTGGGCCAGGTGCTAAGCAGCTGCAAATTGATCTTGCTCTATTAATATTAGTGAGGACTGAAGAATGTCAGTTTACATCAGCTGAGAATATTAAAAAACCCTTTTAACACAAAATTTTAGATTGTGTGTGGGATCAATGTCAGATTCCTTTCAGGCAATGTTCTTCTGGAGGCCAGCTAGTAAAGCGTAAGAGTAACAACCATCAGCCATAGCATCTTAGAATAAGTGTGATTAGCATGACTTGTATAAACTAATCTTAAAACCCTAAAACACTTTTAAAGTTTCCTATGTAATTTCTAAGCACAAGGGAGCTTTCTATGCTCACTGTTTAGAATAAGGGATTCACTTAATTCTTGAGTTATTTCACCATGGTAACGGCTTGTTTTACACTGTGGACAAGGTGGCTCTTAGATCCATCTTTGGCCTGTCCAGAGACATCTGAGGCTCCTGAATAACTCCAAGTCCCATATGTTCCCAAAGATATTGTTAGAAAGCAGCCTCAAAAATCCCATCTTGACAGTACATCTGTGGATGATGAACTTTGGAAGTAGGTGTCAAAAAGGGCAGCTGTCTGGAGTCTAGTGGAAGACAGCAGGGAGAGCAGCTCTGCATGGGAGGTGCTGCTCTGTGGAAAGAACGTTCTGCCCACGTTGGGAAGGATTAACCACCGTTTGTCTGAGCTGGCAAACAGGTCCAGGTTATCTATAACTTGTGTTATGAAGCACGCAGACAAGTGGCAATGATTATGCAGTGACAATCTAAAGTCAGACAGTGCTAACGTAACTGTGTTACTGTTGTGTTGCCACCACCCTTCTGGCTGAGAACCCACCTCTCAGTACTACCCAGTACCAGCTGGTATTTTTAGCTGACTCCTCTGTATGCCTCTTGAGCTTTTGCTTGTATGTACTTCTCTGTATTTCGACTTCGCTTCTGTCTGGGCTGATGAATCTTCCTGTGGTCTGTGGACCACTGCTATCATCTGTGAAAGATAACATGGAAAACCAAACTGATCATCTCAATCTGTGACACAGATATTCTCATCTCCACTGGGAAGCTGATCTGGAGATCAAAATGGTACAACAATGTTTTGTCAGTGCAGAGCAAACCAACTGAAAACTAATTTTTTCCACTTTTTCCTGACGTGAATCTCTTTTCTCTCTTTCCCTCCCTCCTTTACTTCCTCTGCTCTGTCCTTTGTCTTGGATGCAGATTATTGTTACCTTTCTCATAATTATTCTGTATCTGGCCCCCAGCTGACGCATTAGCTCAGATTTCTGCTGAGCAAATCCCGTAAAGTATAAGGATAGAAATAAGCAGATCTGAAAATAAGTTATTTCTAATCAAATTCAAGTTGAAGTCTTTTCTTAAACCCAAGAAACTTTATAGATTAACCTGTTTATTGTTACCAGATGTATGGTGGAGGACATTGCAGCAGGTTCCCAAAACACACTCTCCATTGTGAAGTTAGGTCCTTCCCCAGTATTGAACAAGGGTGGCTCCAGCTCTGGACTGAATGGGGCAGAGGCCGTGGCTGCCTGACACTTCACACCCTGGGAGGAAAAGCACAGACCCCTGCCTTGGACAGAACAATGGGAGCAAAAGCCCTGTAATCTCTCCTGCTCCTCTTACTCCCTTCCGCTGTCTGACCCTTTCTTATCCCGGTAAATCATCTCCTGCCATTAAGCCTTTGCAACCTTCTCATCATTCTCACATACTTGATTTTCCAAGTTAAGAGACTCCAGTTTTTCTAGATGACCAAGCACTGCAGGCCAAGGGGCACATTCAGCTCGTGCCTTTAGCATAGCCCTTGCCTCAGCTATAGCCTCACTGAAAAACATCTGACCTAAATTCAGGGCTAGTTTATACAGCTACAAGACTCAATTTAGGTACAAAAGTGCTGTATATCTACTTTGCACAGATGAAGGCCAAGCACACTAGCAAAGCTACTGGTTAGACTGTCCCTTAACTGATACTTTAACCAGTCCCCACACAGAGCAGGTTGTCTTCTGGCTCTTTGTCATTGGGAACAAACCTACATGGTATCTCAGCCTGTGTAACCTCAGCATGTGCTCCCAGACCACGTGCAGTTTGTGAAAGAGCCCGAACTTCCATCAGCCCCCATGGCAGTCACTTGTCCCAGCTGTGCTGAATGGGCTGCTCGGAGCAGGGGCCATGTGAGTGGCTCCCACAGACCACAGGCCTGACCCCAAATCACAGATCTGTTTATTCCTTGACCTGACTCCGGCTGCCCCGAGCTCAACAGTTGTTAAGGACTGCCAGTCTCACGTAGCACTCACTTTAACTAGTGATACCTCTCTCCCCTGGAGTTTTTTTGCCATTTTTGTTCATCAGGACCTTAAAAAATAGTTACCAGATCAGAGAGTTAATTAAGTAATTCCCTAGAGCCTCATGCCATCCACATCTCCTGTTTGTGACTATGCAGTCTGCTTTTCCTGCACCTTTGTTGTTAGGACCTTAGTCCATATTCCTATTTCTGTCAAAAGTTCATCAAGAAAAGCTCATATTTTCCAAGTTTCCAGTCACTAGGTCCCTTCATATTCATCCCTTCATTTATTCACTTCTACCTTGCCCAAAGGGTTTGTGAAAACTTCTTCTTCTCTGTTGTCTTGTTTTCTAGTGGCTTACAGCTTTGTCCTGTCAACTTAAATTGGCTGCCTACTGAGCTCCAGGCCATTTCTGGCACAGGCCTTGTACAAGTTAGCTGTGAAAGCATGGTTGTGTGATGACCCCTGTATACTCATTAATGTTGTCTTCTGCAGTGACACAAGTCACAAACTTGTCCCCTTCATTCCACATCTACAGGTTGTGGTGTATCATTCCATCACTTCAAACTGCCTCTGTCCCCAGTGGCAGATGACCTGGATGTGTGTCACTCTATTGTCCCACATCTGGTTGTATATATACCTTTGTATTGCTGTGTTCCAGTCATGCCTTTCAGGAAATTGCCTTTGTGACTCTTCCTTCACTTCTCTGACTCTTAGAGAGCTGAGGCCATTTAGTGGCTTCCACGCTACTGCAATTTTTTGTGCTGTACAGCTTGTTCTCTTCCCCAAGGAACAAAGCAGGTTGCTTTCTGATGGGATGCCTGCTCCCTTTGTTCTACAGAAAGAACAATTAGGTTGCTCCTGAACCTAGGTTTCCCATGCTGGCTCACGAAAAAACACTTCCATGACTTCTTTATTTCTTTTACTGCCATCAAAGGCTGATCTTTAGAGTTTTTTCCCCCCCTCTATTTTAATTTTTTTTTTGTTCTGCCAAGTCAAACTGCACTTGAGAGTAACCATGCTCATCTGCTTCAGATGGAGATTATTTTACGTTTACAAGACATGAACCCATCGGAGTGTGTGGACAGATCATCCCTGTGAGTATCTCTACTAGCGCTTTCTATTTATTTTCATTTGAACCAGCTCTCTTTAAAGACACATAAAACACGGTCCTCAGCTATGTGTGTTTTCCATTACGAAAAAAGCTGAGCTCATATTGTTGACATATCTTTAACAGCCTCCCTGCAAATGCTTATTTGAACATGCTAATAGGGTTTAGGCTCTGTTATTAGGAGTTAAGTTCTCAAGTCATAGAATTCTCATGATTAAAACAAGCAAAGCAAAACACAGTGTTAATATGCTGTCAGTGGTTATGGATGTTCACACAACTTATGGAAAATTGATGCTTTGCTGTGGTAGTCTTTCTATTTATTTAGTTTTTACTGTGATTTAACAGGCTCCTCAGTTCCTGGGAGAATGTGATGTATTTTAATTCCATTCTTTCCTGCTATTTCTTTTACAAGGCTGGAGGAGAAAAGGAAACTCCAGGAGACATATCATTACAATTAACATTGTGTAGCTAATAAAAGACATGAAATGTTTGTTTTATTTGTTGTGAGAGAGAAACACATCATTTTGTCAAACCCAATACTGCCCCTATACCCTAATATACACCCTTAATAAAATCTTGCTGAACAGTACATGGGAATTGCACTGAGAGGGTAACTTTTTCAGAAGAACCAGTTAACCAGCCTTGGCAGAAATTTCAATGGGAGGCTCACATATAGCTAATAAAATATCGTGTGGATGCTTTTATTCTTGACAAAGCACTGGGGGACTAATCAGAACATTCTCTGAAATTTTTGTTGATGCTGATTTTTTATTTTGTTCATGTTAACCACAAAGCCACTAAACAGCAACATGCAGCAATTCTATTACAAAAGGAGCAGCCAAAAAAGATTATTTTAACAATTTTGAGCCTGTTTTCCCTATTTATATTGTTGCTATTTCATGTCTTTGTTAAGGGGTGGCCATTGTGTTCAGCACTCTGTAGAAACCCAGAGAAGCACGCTCAGCCTCAGACAGTCTGTGACTATGCCCATCCTGCAAACACCTACACGCTCTCCTAACTTGGGCCTTATGAATGAAAGATTCCACAGCTCTGTCCCCATTCTCCAGCCAGGGTTTGCTAATATGGATAAGGGTTTGCTAAATGACAGCCCCAATGTTGCTGGACATCTCTTAGGCTTGTCTCATTGAGCTTAACTGACAGATCTGTTGAAGAAATTCCGCCACAGGCTGGAGATCACGCCAAAACCGGGATTTGTTTAGTTCAGATGTGTAAAACTCTTTGTTCAGGGTTCCCAGCCATCTACCATGCATGTTTATTTTTCCCCTCAGTTTTGTCCTCCAAAACTTTAAGATGGCTGTCACACAAAGCTATTCTAACACTGCTGTTAATCTCTTATGTACTTCCTCCACAGCTACCAGTCACAGGGTACAGCCCCTGGCCATTGCACCGGCAAATATGTTATTACAAAAATAAAATTAAACAGCAAGCCTAGCACTAAACTCCTCATCCTCTTTCACATCCCAGCTTCCATCAAGACGTGCTCTTCAGCAGTGCTGTAGCATAAACAGGGCTATATATTGCCCTATAAAACTCCTCCAAGCTCTCCTTGAATACCATTAGAAGTGCAGGCTGTTAGCACACTGCTGGCCCTACAGCTCCCCTCCCAGGTTTATATACTGGAGATGGAATTAAAACATCACTTTGTCTCCAGAGTTTATAAACAACAGAGGGAGTAAAAAATTGGGTGTTCGGTGAAGGAAAGACAGTTGTGTATTTTTTCAAGTTAGCCAGGGGCTAGAGAGATGTCTGTGAGAGTGGCAGCTGATATGCATCAGGCAGTAACACATTCTGGCCAGTGGCTGACTATTTGTGACTGATATTTTCTATTCTCTTTCCAAAGGGGATTATTGTATGCATTTATAAGAGTGATTGTGCAAACACAGTTATTTTATTACTCTGGCATTTCCACTTAACCTGTTAGGATCAGGCCTTGATGTGAAAGGCTCGTTACTTTTATCTTTATCCACAATGTGTTTGTGCATCAAAATAACATAATCCACTACATTTTCTGCTGCAGTTAAATGAAGTTGAAATAAAATGACAATGCAGAATTTTATATCATCAAAGAGTTTCTCAACTTGTTTTTTTCTGTTCTCTTAACATCTTCCGTATAAATTGCTTTGTAAGAAGACTTCAAGAAAATAAAATGTTTTGACTGAGCATTGACATTTATGGACTTTTTATTGTAACTCCATCAATTAAGGATTATATAATTTTGAGTATAAATTTTTTATCTTAAGATGTACTCAGGGATAGGAAATTTACATCCAAAAATGCTTCAACATGAACGAACAGTTCCTTCCAAATGTATCAGAAGCAGGATCTATTTGTCATGGGGGAATTAAAAGTGCCAGTTGCAAAACAAGTAAGTGAAATAAAAAGTTGTGACCAAAAAAGATGAACAGATAACAGAATATTTTTTTTATGGAGATTGTAGGTGGGGGTTCTATTTCTTTGAACAGGAGCAAAAGAACTGAAAGGTCACTGTTGTTGCTTTCTTAATAGCAGTAATTAAAAAAAATCCTTGCTTTGTGCTGGGAAAGATTTATGCTGAGGATCAGT